TGTCAGGCACCAGTGGAAAGTTTGCATTGATGTTAAGGGCCATAATTTGCATTGTATCCGACAAAGCACTGTAGTACTTGTCAGTATGCACCTTTTAAGTTATTCAAAGCCAGGAAATTCCAGGCCATCCTGGCAGAGTTGGACACCATACCTTCTCACACTAAAGTACAAAAACTCTGGCACATGGCAGACATTCCCTAAAGTTGCCAGTCATTCACAGCATTAAATGTATAATATACATTTACAGGAGCTTTAAAGACCTGGCCCCAAAATGCACTGATGTACTGTACATTTTCTTGCTGATCAGAGATCAGTTGTGCTCTGAATGAGAGGGGTGTGAGAGCAGAACTAATTCATAGGAAACTGTTTTATGGGAAAGCCTACAGTCACCTCTCCTTCCCGAAGCTGTGTGTGTGTTTGAGTGGTGAATCAGCAGTACACGGATGTGTGTGTGCTGTTCAAAACATACCTGCTTGCCCCCACAATAGTCTCTAAAGTTAGATTTTCAGGTTTGAAGACTAGGAGACCTTGGTTCCCGAGGTCAGAGGAACTTTTAAAAGAAAAAAATAGAAAGAAGCCAGATAACTAACGTTACTTATTTTTGGAATAACTTAGATGAGTGGCAGGCAACACTGTTATCTTCTGTCCAGTCTGAAGAGTTGTCTTTCTGTTTCATATCTATTTATTTATTGTATTGACCAATTGTATGACAAGTTTATTTTATTGACTGTAATTCTACAGCTATAATTAGTTCAGTTTCTTAGTTCATCTGGACATCATTCATCTGGTTCATCACTTAGATTTAAACTAATTTTGTCACTGTGCCTTTAAGACCAACGTATGTAAATGACCTCTATTCTAAATCGCTGCCTTATGTTATGCATCATTTAAAAAGTTTGGGCTTTAATTGGCTTCTCATCGTGGGTGATATGCGTAGTGGGTTGAAGTTCTTCTAAAACTATATGAGTTTTGCTGTAATCTTTATACTGGTATGCTACAAACAAGCACAGATAATGCAGCGTACATAAAGCGCAGAGCATGCTTCAGTTAGCCTGTTTAGTTGAGTTGAGTCAGAGATGTTTGTCAAAAAAAAAAAAAAAAAAATAAAAATTGTGCCAGTTTGCTGGAGCGGACATTAAAAAGAAATACACACCACAATATGTGGACACCAAAAGTATGTAGACACCCCTCCTGAATATTGAGTTCAGGTGTTTCAGCTACACCCATTGCTCACAGGAGTGAAAAAACAAGCACATAGCCATGCAGTCTCCATAGACATACACTGGCTATAGAATGGGTTGTACTGAAGAGCTCAGTGACTAAACGTCTGTCACAGGATGCCACCTCTGCCACAAGTCAATTCCTTCTGGTCAACTGTATGTGCTATTATTGTGAAATGGAAACGTCTGAAGCAAAAACAGCTCAGTCACGTTGCGGTAGACCACCCAGGGCGACCGAGGGTTGAAGCAAGTAGCCCGTAAAAATCACTTATCTTCTGTTGCATCACTCACTACAGAGTTCCAGAAAGCAACATCAGCACAAGAACTGTGTTTCGTAAGCTTTGTGAATTGGGTTTCTATGGCTGAGTAGCTGCACACAAGCACATTTGATGTCACATTAAGAGCTTAATTTATTGCCACTTTGGGCTTGGCCCATTTTGTTTGCAGGGGAGTGTAGATGTGAGCATGAGTGTATGAACGCATGTATGAGGGAATTGAAGTGAGAGATTCGGATGTGAAACAACATTTAACACAATTTTTGCCAGGACCAGAGAAGCTGATTGTACTGTAAATATATTGTAGCATACATATTTGCACTGGGGAGTGAACAGTTTTGAAACTTTAGCAATGTTAACATTGAACTCTAAACTCTTCTATTTAAAAAAAAGTTTTTCCATTATATAGACCATTTATTTTTTACAGAAGATGGAAGTGAGTCACAGCATTCGCAGGTAACTTTGGTAAAGTAAGTTACAGTCTTTCTGCCAAGATAGAAACCGAGATCCTACAGTCAGAGTTCAAGGAGGTAAGCAGCTGTAAGTTATCAAGGATTATGGTTTCCCATTACCTTTAGGGATGAGAGAAAAAAGGCCTCTGTTCATGAAGGAAGGAATGAAACCTTTTAATAAATACCAGATTTATCTACACTTACAGGGAGGAGAGGAGGAAACAAAACCCTAGTAAATTTAATCTGGTCAGCCTTTAATGACAGGGTGATTTCACAGTTTTTATCCTCAGCTGTGAAATTGTGTCACTGATGTTGGAATATAATGCTTAGAAAAAAGGATCTTGATTTGTAAGCAGCATTGTTTTATAAGAAACTCTAATTGGAGTAGATGAATAAATATTTCAATTCATTGTCTTAATTTTCATTTTAAGTCTGATAATCTTATTAAAGTCATTTCCTTTTCATAGTGAAAAATATATTTGATTTCTTTCCCCTTTTCAATCGACTTGACTCTAGATGCTGCCGTTTTCCATAGCCAAGAACTACAGCGATTCACCAGCAAGAGTTTGCAGATACTGCTTCTTACGGCTTTTCAGATAAACGGGAAAATTAAATTATTATTATAAGTCTGATATTTAAATTATAGTCAGTAATTACAAAAAATAATTTTGCATGCTATCTTTAGCTTCCACATCCACTGGCAGTTCACATGCTGTAAATACTGTTAGTAGACATTTCCATTCTTTTTAAATCACTCAGATAAACTGTATAATTAATAATACCACAGCCCATTATTACAGGTCCCATATCCTACATTTATCCTACTTTGTTTATACAACATAAATGAGGTCTACTTATGATATTTGTTGGGGTTTATGTACCAAAACATGTTGTTAATTGTTTTTATTCTATCATTGTATGTTGTTCTGGAAAAGACTGGCTGCTAAATAATGTGGGTGGATACGAATTTCAGCAAATTATTTTGCCTGATATCAAGCGTTATTAGTTGGTAATTAACTATTAATAGACAAACCTAAAACCACGGACACGATTAATGAAAACATCAAACACAGTACTGCGTTTTATATAAACAAGGCTTTAGGCTTTATTACGTGTAACAGATATGACAGTAACAAAGTTCATATGCATAGTTTTAACAAGAATCAACAGTCGGTAGCTCACAGCTTTTAGGCTTAACTACATAGGCTAACTGTTAGCTAGCAAACATACTTGTAGACAGTAGTTTAAGATTACACTCAATTTCACTCAACAGAAGCAGCATGACATTTTTAAATAGTCAGTTGTAGTCTACCTTTGCAGTGTGCCATATGGCTAAGTGTCCTGGACAATTTTGAGTGGAGAAATATTCACATGAACAGGGGTCAGTCTTCAACAAGCTTCTGGGAGTAGGTGTCGAAAAAACATAGATTGTCATCATAACGCTGTGTAGCTACTCAAAAAGTGTAAACTACACTCTTAACAAAGATGGTGCTTTAAGGGTTCTTTAGTAAAGAAAATAGTTCTATATAGAACCATGGACAAAAGGGTCAAAAAGGGTTTTTTGCATCATGAAAGGGTACTTTGGACTGATGGAGAATGTTAAATGGTCCTATATAGAACCTTTTTGATAATGGTTCTATATAGCACCTGAAAGGGTTCTTCTATTGTTATAGTGTCAAGTTTGTAACAATAGAAGAACCTACTTCGAAAAGGTTCTATATGGAACAGTCTATAGCGCATTCATGCACATTATCCATCAATCTAAAGAACCGTTTCATGATGCAAAGAACCCTTTAATTGTGCAAATATAGAACGATTATCTTTACTGAACAACTCACTTTTTTAAGAGTGTACATTTAAGATGGTTTAATCTCTGCTATAGAGTTGTGCATCACTAAGCAGGGCTAACGGAACAGTTTGCACTCCTGTGCCTTTATGTGTGATTTTCAAAAACTTGCCTATTCAAATATGAACTCTTTACTGGAAATTAAATCAACTTTTTAAGCAAAAACATTGGTCGAACATTTTATGTGTTTGTCAGTTAATCAACATCACTAACAATTTTTTCTTTCTAACAATTGTCATGTCTGATTTAGCTGTGTCATGGCTATGCAAAATCAATGATCAGTTATCTTTAGGGTTTTGATCTGTCTTACAGAGAGAGCACTTCATATATGGATTAGTGTGAACTTGTTTTTTCAAAATTCAAAATAAATGATCAGTTATTGGCATTGGTGCTGGTCACAACAACTTTTCTAATCTCCCACCCCCATAATTTCCTTTGTGCTTTAAGCCGTTTGGCTTAGATAAGTGCAGTATACATTCTAAAGTGGTGGTGTCCAATCTTATCTGCAATGTGGCGGCAGGTTTTTTTATTCAAGACGAGCAGGAGCACAGCTGATTCCACTTGTTTACTCAATTGCTCAGCCTTCCAGCTGATCATGTGAGCTTCTGCTTTGTTAGAATTCAAATCTGCAGCCACACCAGCCCTTTGTGGATAAGATTGGGCACCCCTGTCCTAAAGTATCGAAACATTCCTTCTAATTAGTAAATTCAGTTATTCTAAGGCTCACCCATAGCTGACACAGATGTTCAAATACAAACACAGCTTGTGTAACCTTCATAGAAAAGCGTTGCCTACAGAATGGCATGCTCTGGAGAGACTGGACTTGAGTATAAGTTTACCATGGAGTGCTGTTTGTGATCCAAAACTAAGCATCCAACATCAGTCCCTGACCTCAATAATGCTGTTGTGGCTGAATGTGAATCCGCACAGAAATGTTACAGCATCTACTGTAGTCTTCCCAGAAGAGCAGAGACGAAGAAACGTGTTAATGCAGAGAAGCGTGAACAAACTCCCTTTCAATACCCCTGATTTCAGAAGAAATGTTGAATGAGCAAGTTTCTTTTGGACATGTTCTTTATCTGTGATTAAATACAATCTAAAAAGAAATGTGTCTTCATGTGAGCTGAAGGTTTCATGTTTCACAGTGGATTACTTGAGATGATGTTGATCTGGACTGTGACTGCAATTGTGTCTTCTTTGTTTTTAGATCACAAACGCTCCTTACAACAAGCCAGAAGGTCCACACTTCGAGTAGAAATGCACCATAGGATAACAACGCAGGAGCCAATATGTAAGCATGTGATTGAGCAAGAGACGAGGCATGAATGAATGAGCGGAAGACAGAGTTCATGAGGGGGTGAGAGATAAGCTCTCGTTCTCTCTTGACAAGCTGAACATGTCCTACAGTGGTGATAATCCACCCAGTTCTAATACCACAGGCAGCTCTAACTCTGCTTCCCAATATGCTGCTGCTGCGCTGGGTGTGGGGCTGGTGGCCCTGGGCATCGTGATGGTCGTGTGGACCGTGGTGCCAGCGGGCTCAGTCGGAAACAGCTCACGGCCTGGCCAGGGACTGGGCTCGAGTAGTAACACATCAGTAGCAGCCTTTGTGATGCTTGGTATAGGAGTGGCCATGCTGCTGCTTGCCCTCTGTCTGGGCATACGCAACAAACGCAGAGCACAGAGACAGCAGCAGACCAATGGAAACGCACAGACAGACCAAAGCCAGCCGGAAGAGAGGTGAGAATACGCACGTTCAGATGTCATTTTACCCACTCATCTGTGGGGGGTGAACAATTCGCATATTTTCAGGTTTAGTGCAATTTCCGATTCAAAATTTATTTTTCATTTTTGACATTTTTTAAAAAGGGCCCATGTTTTACATTTTTGTTACATTTTCTTGGTCCTTCTTGTAATATATGTGTGGTTATATGAAATAAAAACAGTTATAATTCATTTTTAGATTTTTAGATTTTCCAACGCCTCTTTGTCCTTTAGAATTAAACAGGCTGTTTTTGGTACTGCCATTAAGACTCACAAATGTAAATTATCTGTGTTCTGATTGGCTGCCCCTATGCCCTTTAAAAAACATTCTGGGCTGAAACGCTGTATAACTTCATCATGACAGGGTGGAGCTAAAATGCTGTAATCTGAATAGGCTGATATGTGTAAATGTGTTGATTTTCGTGGCATTACAAACACAATTAAAAATGGAAAAAATGAAAATTGCAGCTCAGTTTCCATATGTGTACTTAATGGACTTGGGAGTGAGAACAAGGAAAAGTCATTTCATGTACACACAATTTACACATGCATTTCTGATATCCTGTTGGTGTGGGTGCTGGTTTCCTCCCTTTCAGTTATGCGCAAAGCTACTTGCATGCTAATAGTTCCAGCTTATGGAGAATTTTAAACGAGTGTGAGGGAATGATCTAGTTAATAATTAGTTAGGCCCAAGAGATGTTTCATATTCTGAAAAGGTAATATACTCTCACATGTCAAAGATTAGAAGGTTAAAAGATGTTTGTATTTTTGTGTTCCACGTAGGCAAGCGGAACAACCGGAACACTATGCTGTGCCCAGTTACGAAGAGGTGGTTGGCAGTGAACAGTACCCCATTCGACAGTTCACTGCACGACAAGACAGCACCACCCAGCTCCCGGCCTACGAAGAACTGATGGAGACGCCCCAGAGCGGGTTGGATGGGCCCGAACCAGCACACACACAACCCACCCAAACACAGAACGGAGCGGACGATTCGAACCCAACACACACACACCCTCCAGGATCGAACCATCGGAACGGACGTCCAGGACTCAAACTGCTTCCTGTTAAAGTGAGGCGCATCAAATCTGAAAAGCTGGGCAGGAAGATGTCCAGCAACTCCCCACAAGTCATTGTGTCCAGCATCGAACCCCTTACTCCTCCACCGCAGTATGATGACTCGCCCCCTGAGCTTCCACACCCGCCACAGTGACTAAGCGTGCGCTAGAACTGCTGTGATGGTCTGTTAATTCCGGACTGGTAAAATGTGCAGTAAGGGTTGCATACACGAGCCATAAATACTTCATACATAAATATTGTTATACATAACCACCTTAAAATGAAACATTCAGCTGTGAGTTTTCAAAAGAACCAATTCTGAAACACCAGTCTTGGAACTCTCTCATTTCTTTCTGTGGTAAATGATGACTAGTTTTTTGGAAACCTAGTTGAGTATTTGTGCAGCACCTAATGTGCACTAACTCAGCATGATTATATTCATTAAAACTCCAGTGTCATAGTATTTTTACAGCACTCCCAATTAAAAAGGATATGGGTGTCTGATGTAAAGTAACAGTGACACAATTAATTTCAAATTGTTGAGGAAAAGTTGTTTACCATGCCTGGCTGTCGTGTGATGACAATGCCTCTGACCTACATAACTCCCAGCAGCCAAGTAGATTTACAATAGGAATATGAGGAAAACGCTCTACTGGTTTTCTTTCCGCCTGTAACTCAGGCTCAGGCGTTTAGCACTGGTGTGCATATGTGGGTACTGCGCTCTCATACCATTACCATTATTAAAGGAATGGTCCAGCGAAAAATCAAACTACGTTATTTTCCACCTACCCCAATAGTCAGGCAGCCAAGACATGCTGGGTGTCCTAATTTTGCTTTTAAAGCAGTTTTGCTTTTAGTTTTAAACTGGAGCTGTGAGGCTAACATTGATAACAAACACTTTGAGTCAATAGTAACCTAAATCTTTTCTGCAAATACATCCTTAAAATTTCCATCGACCTGCTCAAACCTCATCTAGGTCTTCATTAACAAACAAGACTTCACTGTGTAACTAAATGCTATTTCCAGTGAAGAACTGAAGAAGCAAAATTTAAACACCAAACATGTCTGAGCTACAAATGAGGAATTGTGTACATTTGGAATTTTTTTTTTTTTCTTTGCCAAACCATTACTTTAACACCCACTGTCCTGTTGAAACACAATGGGCCATTATCCCACCCATAGTACCTTGCTAACCAGTGCTGTTTATACACCATTTCTTTTGCTGGAGCTGATTATCATGTTCCAATCAGTGGACAGTTATATACAATTTCTGGTTGTAGTTGTTACTTTGCATATTTCTAACTACATTGTAATCTAACACAGCTATGCATAACTTGCTCAGTGTTAACCTACTGATAAAATAAGTGTTCTTGTTAAAAATGAAATTAATATTGTATCCCTCATAATAATTTAACTATACATGCTCCACTCACAGAAGCATTCTTTCATAGCTGCTAGGTTGGACAAACTTTACTGATAATGTTGGGAAAAATCCAGTTCAACCTAATGGAAAAATTCTGAAGCTAATCGGTGCAGCATTAGATACTGAGGAGTTCTTGTCGTCTTGTACATGAGGTCTTTTATCCAGCTTGTTCAGCGGCAACGTTTCAACAAACTCACATTAAGAAAGAAACATTCATGTGGCGTAAGGTCAAATGGTGAGAGTTTAATAGATTTATAGATTAGATCTAAATAAAGTTTAGAATCTGAGGATGTTGAAACGCTAAACATTTCTTCCTGTAATTGTGTGATGGTCTCTAATATCTCAGCTTGACTCACGACCAAACACAGGGCTAAACGACCGCACTGCGTCTTCATCTCAGTTAAAAATAATCATTAGAAAGTACAGTTTAGTGAAGATTGTGATTATAGTTTATTGTCTTCCTTTACGCTGCACTGATAAATCTGGGGGCGGTTTGCTGTGAAGAGAAGCTACAGTGTCTTCATAATAATCAGACCTAAAGAGCATCTCTGTCCATTATCTCATTAATCTAACACTTCAAAACCCATCAGACAGTCTCAGGGAGCTGTTAGCTGCTTGTGCACTTGACTAATAAAACAGACTGTATCTGCCACATTTGTTTTGTTTGCACGAATCCAAAAAACAACTTGCAGACAATCATGTCCTGTTGGCTCAGGGGATCGAGCCAGCGACCTACTAGTCACAAGGCTGGTTCCCTAACCTCCAGCCTAGAACTGCCCTCCGTCCCCTTTGGGGGGGGCGAATTTGAATTTGAAGGTGGAGCATGGATAGGCCAGTGATACCATTATACCATACAACTTTGATGTTATTAAGCTTATGTTGATGCTGCCAGAGTAAGAGGGTGACGTTCTGATCATGTTTACTGCTACAAAACTGGAACTGCCTGAGGCTGTTTGATACAGAGGCTGCATTAATGCTAAACTATAAAATTAATTGCGAAATATGTTATATGGGAAATTCTACCAGCACTGTTGTGTGTGTGTGTGTGTGTGTGTGTGTGCGCGTGCATTCTAGTAACGTAGCCTAAATTTTATTATGGGTGGCCTGGTTACAGCTTTGGGAGGGAGCAGTTAGGAAGCATTATGTCTAAGCATTAAACACAACACACAAATACTGACTTTGAATTTAACTGCCTTGTTACTTTAATAACTGACACAATACCTTAAAGGCTACTTAACCTACCTTTTTGCACTAGGAGAAGATTTGTAGGGCAAATAAAGACTAATTTTCAGATTTTTCTTTGTTTTCTTTACCACAGTCAGCTTTACTGCAAGCTTGATATAGCTCAATAAGCAGCATAAGCTAGGAACTTGCACAGCTCAGCTAAATTCCCATAATTTGCAGACAATTTATAATAATAAAGCCTGGCCACAACTTACTAAGATGTGGGGATGGGATCAGGATAATGCATGGCTATGATTTATTAAGGCATGGGAATGAGATATTAAATCATGGCCAGAACTTAACTATCACAACTTAACTATATCATTCTCACGCTTTACTAAGTCGTAACCATGGCCTTGCATTATTTTTATTAAGAAGGGATGTCACCAGCAGGGCTCTGTACAGTGGACCAGGGTTATGATATGTTTACACGTCGGCGTTAAAAAAGCACTGTTCCATGCCTTATTGTAGTGGCGTAAAACTCCATGCAGCATGTAAGTGTTGCCAAGGTGATAGCATTCGCCGAAAATTGCCGACGAGCTTTGGCCACCTTTATATAATTGAAGGTGGAAATTAAGGCACGAGGATGCAAGGCTTCAACGTGTTTGGGGTTCATCCTGAACTGAAAGAATTTTTTTATTGACATGATTGAAATACTACAGCGACTTTGGGGTGTTCATGCACTGTGGCTCAATCAGACCCCTTTTACTGAGTGCAAGAACAGGCCCTTGTTACTGTAGTGACAGGCAGTGAGGTCATAAGTGTTTGTGTGTGCATCTGTCTTGCTCTCTCCATGTCAGAGGGCACAGGGGAAGTCTTTCACACTCCAGCTGCCTGTTAAATGACTCACTCTAGTCTTTCTCTCTCACACTCTCACTAACACACACACACACACAGCATTCTTCTATTTTCGGCCAAACACACAGACACAAACCCACAATGTATTTCCCCTACTTCTCCCTCATTCTCTCACTGTCTCTCCTTCCTGCATGTTGTTATTGTGAGTAGTGGCCTGTTCTAACCCATCTGCAGTGTCATTCCTGTTTACTCGTGGAAAAGCAAGAATGTCAGAGATTGACAGTATGTGCTCTTGCAACCTAATGCTTTAGCATGTGAACAAATTAGAACTGAAACAAATATGCACGCTTCTCAGCTGTTGTCTAAAGCCTGACAGTGGACTGAGTGATATGGGATTTATAATGATTTTTCAACATTTTAAACCAGTGGAACCAGCGGTCATGATGTCTACAATGTAAAGCCGTTGTATTTACTATCCAGAAACCTGGGCCTACATGAGTCTCCTGAGATTTTATATGAAGTGTTGATAATGGCAAAGTGGTGGTAAATCCAATGCCCTGCGTGTAGTTTACACCATGAATGGATTTGGAAAATATGTTTAAGGGCCAAAACAATCAGAAAACAATGTCTCAGGCATCAGACAGTGTATTCATAGCTTTTTGTGTCAGAACTTTTAGGGACATTAAATGCCGTCATTGTAAACAAATCTGACTTGGTTAGTTTGTCTAGACTGAAGCATTTCACTGCATGACTTTTCTGTTTAGATCTAAACGATTGATTTATACAGAAATTTTGAAAAACAGTTTCAATTGCACTTGTGCTATTTGTGCATTCACTGTTTTTACAACACAACATTTAAGATCAATTTTATTTTTTAAGGTATGGTGTTTCATTGGCATTTGTTAATTGCAGTACTAAAGAAAGAATGTTTACTCCTTAATTATTATTTCTAAAAGCTGTAATGATCTGTTTTTAAAGCACAGAGTCACGCCGAGGTGTGTGGCTGATCTGTCCTTGTGCAAACAATGAATCTTTTATAAATAAAAGGAGATATTTGTTTTGGGAATTCAGTTGATAGTGTTGGGTGTGGTGTGGTACATTTAAAAAGCAACTCTTTTGCAAGGATGTTTCTGTTGCCTGCCATCTAGTGGTTGAATGATGTAAACACAACCATGGATTCTTCAGGACCCAATGAGCCTTTCCTGGATTAGTGCAAATGTATCTGTTTCATTAAGATATGATGATAGAGAAGGAAAGTGTCTTTCAATAATACAAATGTGTATTATAAATACTGCATAGAAGCCTTGTGTAATAATAATACAATAATACTAGATGGCCAAAAGTATGTGGACTCCCCTCCTCATTTTTAAGTTCAGGTGTTTCAGCCACACCCTTTGCTAACAGTTGTTTAAAATAAAGTACATAGCCTTGCAATCTCCATAGACAAACACTGGCAGTAGAATGAGTCATACTGAAGAGCTCAGTGACTTTAAACATGCCATTGTCATAGGATGCCACCTTTGCTACAAGTCAGTTTGTGAAATTTCTGCTAGATCTGCCCCTGTCAACTGTAAGTGCTATTATTGTGAAATAATAATAAGTGTTTAGGAGTAACAAGAGCTCAACCATGAAGCGGTGGATGACACAAACTCACGGAGTAGGGCCAGCAAGTGCTGAAGATGTATCCTCGGGAGATGCATCATATCTTCACTACACAGTTCCAAACTGCCTCTAGAAGCAACATCAGCAAAAGAACTATGTGTTCGGAGATTCCGAGCAGCTGCACACAAGCCTAAGATCAAAACGCACAATGCCAAGTGTTGGCTGGAGTGGCAGTCTGATGGATGAATCAGGGTTTGGCGGATGCCAGGAGAATGCTCCCTACTGAAATGCATAGTGCCAACAGTAAAGTTTGGTGGAGGAGGGGTGATGGCCTGGGGCTGTTTTTCAGGTTCAGCTCCTTAGTTCCTGTGAAGGGTTATGTTAATGGCTCAGCCTACAAAGACATTTTAGACAATTATATGCTTCCAGTTTTGTTGTAGCATTTTGGGGAAGGCCCTTTCCTGTTCTAGAATGACTATGCTAGTTTGGTGTGGAGGAACTCAGATGGCCTGCGAAGAGCCCTGACCTCAACCAAACTAAACATGTTTGGGATGAACTGGAACATCGACTGCGAGCCAGGCCTTCTCATTCAGCATCAGTGCCTGACCTCAGAAATGCTCTTTTGAATGAACAAATTCCCACAGACGCACTCAAAAATGTTGTGGAAAGCCTTCCCAGAAGAGTGGAGGCTATTATAGCAACAAAGGGTCCTCCATATTAGTGCCATTTGATTTTGGGATGTCCAGCAAGCTCATATGGGTGATATGTATAGATGTCCACATACTTTTGGTCATATAGTGTATGTTGACACCTGACCTATATGAGCTTGTTGGACATCCCATTCCAAAACTAGGTAGTAAAGTATAAATCGCTTCATAGAATATGTTTCCACTGCTCCAGAGTCCAGTGGCGGTGTGCTTTATGCCACTCTAGCCAACGCTTGGCATTGCGCTTAGTAGTCTTAGGTTTATGTGCAGCTGCAATGTAAACTAATGTCATGAAGCTACTGTTGCACAGTTTTTGTGCTAAGGTTGCCTCCAGAGGCAGTTTGGATCTCTGTAATAAGTGACGCAACAAAGGATAGGCACCTTTTACGGGCTTTCACATTACTAACACATACAGTTGAACGGGGCAGATCTAGCATGACAGAAATTTCACAAATTGAATTGTGGCAAAGTTGGTGTCCTATGACAGTCTATAAAGCCACTGCACTCTTCAGTACGACCCATTCTATTGCCAGGCTTTGTCTATGGAGATTGTGTGACTATATGTTTCATTTTATCCACCTGTTGGCAA